GCAGAGGCGTTCGGGCCCGGGCCGATGAGCTCGGACCTCCTGCAGGAACTCCATTAACAAAATCACCCATTTTCAGACTCCTTGTGAGACCCAGAAGTTTCTGAGTGCACACGGATGAATAAGAAAGAGGCTATCTCGGGGGAAAGTGGCAGGTGAGAGACGCAAGGTTAGAAAAAATATTTCCAAAATTGAAAAAAGACGAGAAGAGGACAGGGCCATCGCTCTTCAGACGCAACTTTGACCGGAAATGCAACTTGTGTCCCGTTTTTTTTGTGTGTGTGTATGTGTGCGTAGGCGTAATGTAAAGCCGATCTGTCCCCCGCCCTCCCCCTCCCTCCCCTCTCTGCCCCCTCCCCTCCATAAAAACAAAAATACCCCCCCCAGCCCTGTCCATCCCCTGCAACCCCTGTCTCCCCTCTCTTCTTCGTACTGGCTGTTGGCTGTTCTGTTTAGTTCATTGTGAACGTGCCAGTCATTCCCCCGTCCCCTCTACTTTACCATTTGCCTCCCCCCGTGCCCACCCACCTCTCCACCTCCTTCTCTCCTCTCTTGCTCTAATCTCCTTCTCCTCCCCCCACTCCTCTCCTTCTCCACTCGTTCCCCCCCCTCTCTCTCTCTCTCTTCATGGATCTTTAAGATGACAACTCTATGCAGATGCTGTCTTTTATAAGTGTGTCAAAATTTTAATTTAAAATAAAAACTTAAAAAAAACAAACCCTGACAGACATATTGAAATGATAACAAAAAATGAATAAAGAAAAGGATTGTTCAGTGTACTCTTTCTGCCTGACGGGATCTTTATTGCTTTGTGTCTTTTTAATAATTTCTCTTATCAAATCATCGGTTTTCTCTTTTAAAATGTACCTGAACTATAACTCATATAATAAATCCATCAGCACCACAACACATTTGTTCACTAATAATCCAGCTGCCTCTAGTTTGCTGGGTTCCTATTTCAATTACTTCAACTTCAATTAAGTTATGTAAGAAAGTAATGTATGAAAGTAACCCAGTATGAAAGTAATGTATAAAAGTAATGCAAGTAATGTATGAAAGTAACAAAAGTAGTGTTTGAAAGTAACACTATGAAAGTAATATATGAAAGTAACGAAAGTAATGTATGACAGTAATGTATGAAAGAAACGAAAGTAAGGAAGTAATGTATGAAAGTAACGTAGTACAAAAGTAATGTATGAAAGTAACAGTATGAAAGTAATGTATAAAAGAACGAAAGTAATGTAAGGAAGTAATGTATGAAAGTAATGTAGTACAAAAGTAATGTAAGGAAGTAATGTATGAAAGTAATGTAGTACAAAAGTAATGTATGAAAGTAAGGCAGTATGAAAGTAAAACAGTATGAAAGTAATGCATAACAGAACGAAAGTAATGTATGAAAGTAACGTAGTACAAAAGTAATATATGAACATAACGCAGTATGAAAGTAATGTATGAAAGTAATGTATGAAAGTAATGCAGTATGAAAGTAATGTATGAAAGGTTCATTTTTTGAAGTCTTTCCAAATTAAAGTGACCACTGGAAACGATAGACAACCTAACAAAATAAAAGCACTTATATGAGTCTGTGAACTCAGACGTGTAGAAACAGGATTTATTTATAAAAACACAGAACACAGAAACCATCACAGCAGCTCTCACACACTTTCTGCTCGTTTGTGTGAAACTGTAACAAAACTTTTTTATTCTTGGTGGTGAGTATTGATTGTATTATTACTAGTATTACTATAATTATTATGTTTTTGCTGTATGTTAAAGGATCCACTCTATGTCAGTGGTATATACACCATATATTGTGTATATAACATTAAAGATGTTGATCACAACAGTGTCAATCATCCACAGTGATGGAAGTGGAGGGGAAGTATTATGAAGTTATTGAACGAGTGATCAGGAGATCAGATCATCCGGTTTTGTAAGAAAAAAGACGACATGATTTATCAGATGTTTCTATCTTTGTTCAATCTTTAAAAACACAAATATGTAGTTTTATGTTTGAAAAATGAAGGAACTAGAGAATTTGTCAGGGACTATTTTCAGCGGCGGATGAATCCACATTTTGAGTTTTTTAATCAAATTTGCAGAAATTTTCTGTTTTATAAAAAAACCACCAAGAAGAAAAAATAAAAATCAATCTGTCACAGTTTGAATGGAAGCGATGCTGCTCGCTCATTAACAAATGAAGATCATCTACAGATATTGGTTTGTATATAAAAGCTCATACAGAGGTTATGATACAGAGGTACAATAACGACACATCATCTAACTGAACAGCACCGACAGTCTACGGCTACGTTTCTACAGGTCGATTCCCTACGACGCCATTTTGCATCCCCAACTGAAATAAACCAGATTATTCTGACCATCTGAAACAAATGTCGTATGTTCTGTGATTAAATAAAACTCTGAAGGCTGAATAACGTTTTACTTCATTACGTGTCAGAAGATAAGTCACAGTACAACAACTATTAAAATGTCTTTAAATTGTGACTTAATAGCTCATAATTACAAGAAATTACTAACAAAAGTTTTTATGAGATATGTTTTTTTTCTCATAATTATGATTATAAATGATCTCATTCTCATTATCATTAGGAAAATATTTGAGATTTTTCCTAATTACAAGATCCAGATCTCACAAATAGAAGAAAAGAAGATAATTAAGAGAAAACTTTCTCATGTTAACACATTTTTCCATCATTTCTACTATTTAAAAGATCTGTATCTGATAATAAGTTATTTTAATAATTAATGACAATGTTTTCTCATATTTATGAGATCAAAAGTATGAGAAAAAAACATTCTCATATTCACCAGATTTATATATTTTTTTTAGATAATTTAGATTAATTTTCAGGAAATTATGAGAGAAAAGAAGAATCGTCATCATGTTCACATATATATAAGATTATATAAGAGATCTGTATCTGATAATTAGCAGAAAATATTTTTAGAATTACGAGCTCTGTGTAACTGGGTGATTATGAAAATGTTTTTATCTTCTACTTTATGTTTTCTCATAATTGCAGAATCTCATAATTATAAAACAAATAATATAATTACAACAAAACAATCTCCTAATTACCAGATGCACATCTTGTGATTATGAAATCAGATACAGATCTCACAATTTGGATAAATTAACTGATAAATTCAGGAAAGTGTCTCAGATTTCTTTATAGGAATGAAGTTTTGAGGAAGGGACACAAAATGGCCGCCACAATGACTGCAGCTGTTGAACCTGGTCAGATTTACGTTTCACTTCCTTTGTGCTGCAGATTGTGAGCGACACACAGGCGTCATCACATCGTTACATTTATAAATTCTACTTCTCTTTAGTTTGAACCACAACCCTTTGACTAACTGTATACGTCAGGCACAGAGTCACAAAGTACAGGTGCCCCAAAAACAAAGTGAACACTCAGATAGGAGGTGAAGAGGAGGAAGAGGACGAAGAGGAGGTGAAGCAGATGTGGGAGGACGGAGGAAGACGAGGAATCATTGACGTCTGTTCTCGGTGAGTTACTTCAGAGACAAAAACTACATGGCTCCCGACAGCAGCTTTGTCCTCGACAGAAATCCACCATGAATCCGGTCTGAGCTCACGTCCAAATCCCTCCAGACGGTTTGTTACGGAAGCATTTTTATACCAATATTAACGTTTTATCATTCAGTGTTTTTTCTCATAATAATAATTTGGAGAAACTTCCTCATAGTTGTATTAATTATGAAATGTTTTCTCATTACTTACAGTGTCTCCAAATTATGAGTTTAAATCAAAGTTATGAGATTGTATCTTATTACAATAATAACATAATTATGAGATCGTTTTTCATAATTATTACACATTAACTCATATTTATGAGTTTAAAAACAGATAAAAGAAACAAAGTTAGTTTCTCAGAGATGATCTAATAATAATAATAATGTGATCATCAATCATAATTATTAAAAGTTCTCATTATGAAAAGGTTTGTTACAACCTTCATATTAAACTTAAACTTAAATTTATATATTAAACTAGAATTATAACAGTATATCACATAATTATATGAGAATGTGTAAAATTCATTCAGGAGGCAGTTGTTTGTCTCTACAAACATTTAAATTAAAAACAGTTTTAATAAAAGCAAATATTTACTATTTAATTAATTAATACAATTACAAATTACTGAGTCAGAATAATTGTTTATAATTATGAGATTCTAAAATGTAAAATTATAAAATCTAATACGGTAGTTTTTCTTCACAGGGCATAAATGGGCTTCCATAGTCTGACTGAAGAGGAGTGTGCTGATTGGCTGTGAACAGGTGATGCTGATGATGATGATGATGATGATGATGAAGGTCCACGTCGTCCGACTTTGTGAAACTAAAGCTCCCAATGACGTCGTCCACTGCGGTGTCCGTCCACCTGAAACACGCTCTAACCTCCACAGGTCTGATTCCCATCAGTGCAGCTTGTGTTTACAGTTTTTTTTTTGGCTGCCCTGAAGGCATCTGAACCCACAAAAATACATTTTCTCTGTTTTCTCTCATTTGAGTCTGAAGATCACCAAAAGAAGACAAAAAACACAGAATCTCCTTGTTTTTCGTCCACGTTGACGTCGCCCAGGTCTATTCGTCTTCAGTATGTTCCTCCACTTCAGTTTGTTTGAAAGTTTAGGTTTCACTGAACACTGAGTCTGAACCTGAACACATCGTGGAGGTCATTAGCCGCAGCACTGAAACGTACGATCCTCCTGAACACATCGTTTACACCTCGAGCTCCAGTTTCTGTCTCATGTAATCGCAGTTTCATATAAATGAAATAAACCTACACTGTAAAAAAACTGTTAGGAAAACTCCTAATTCCAAATGAACTGTTTTTACTACACTTTTAACTTTTAAGTTTTGAAATAAACAAAAAATACTTTTGCTCATTGTTTGTTTGTTTTATTAAATATTTGCAATTGAAAATATTAAATTTACTGTCTTTCATTTTAAGTTTTAGAAACAAAGAAATCTGTATTTTAAAAAAAGTTAAAGATTAAAGTTTTAAATTAGAAAAGTAAATTAGCATTAATTATTATTAGTTTATTTCAAAACTTAAAAATGTAATAAAGACAGTTGCCTTGAAATTACGAGTTGTTGTTTCTACAGTGTACTGCGTCCATACTGCAGCTTGTCATCGATGTAAAAGTCTCAAATGTACAAACAATGATCACGTGAGGCTGGAGGAAGAGGTCGTGGAAAGAATACCCATAATGCACCTCTGCAGAGGAGCCAGAAGTCTTCAAACCTACAGACCGATACAAACGAGTCCAACGGGGCAAAAGCAGTCACCCATTCACTGTCAATGGGAATATGAAGGTCTGTGAGCTATAAAAGAGTTCACAGGAAACAGGAAATGACCTGTATCAGTAAAGAGGTTCTTTAACTGTCAGATTATACCTTTAAACTCAGAGAACAAAGAGGAGCTTCAGTTTTCAGCTTTAAATATGAAATATGAAAGTTCAAATATTTCAGGCTGAGAAAAAAGTTTGGACTCTTAGATTAAAGATCTGGAGGGAACGGTGAGGAAGGCGGATGACGTCCCTCGAGACAGTGGCGCACCCCTCCAGTGCACCTTCATGTGGTGCCTCAGGTTGGACCGCGACGAGAAACGTTTGTCGCACTGCTGGCAGGAGAACGGCTTCTCCTTGGTGTGGATGCGACGGTGGCAGATGAGCGCCGTGGACACCCGGAAGGACTTGCCGCAGTCGGGGCAGCGGTAGCGTTTGGGCTCGGTGTGGATCCGCCGGTGGTTCTTCAGGGACATCAGGTTGGGGAACTCCTTCTGGCAGGAACTGCAGAAGTAGGTCCCGGTCTTGTGGCTGTTCTTGTGGTTGAGCAGGGAGCTGGCGTGGCGGTAAGAGCGACCACACTGACCGCAGATGAAGGTCCTGGAGCTGCTGGACGAACCCACTGGACGCAGATCTGAGAGGAGACAAACACCAGGGTTTTAGTTCAGATAAGGAACTGATCCAGACCCCAAAGAGAGCGAGGAGGTCCTGCACAGTGTCTACAAAAAGGACGAAACCATCAAGTCAGTTTAATATAAAACCAGTTCAGCACTGAGCCGCTCTGCAACCTCAACCTGTCTGAAGAAAACAAGAACTCTTAAATACAGACACCTGATTCTCACAGTTACAGGAAGAAACCTCATAATTAAAAGATTAAGAACAACAACTGTTTCATTATTAATCTGTATTTTATTAATACAGGAAAACAAAAAGCAATCTCATAATGATCTTTATCGTTTAATCACAGATCTCATAACTCAACCCGGTAGTCACACAGACGCCGGTCCACCTGCTCGTAAACTAATTAAACACAATTTTATCACTGAAACTTAATTTAAACTAATATTTAGTTTCAGTATCAGCCTGTTAATTGTTCCCGTTCATGGAGTCTCACGTCTACAATTAGTACGGAGCTAAAATGGGAAGGATAAACAAAACAGGAAACAGCAAAGGGTCAAAGGTCAGTTCTGATCTCTCAGTATGAAGATGCTGATTTTAAGAAGTCAATAGAAAACAGCCATAAAACGGCTTTTCAAAATAAAACAAAGAGCTTCATTAATGAGCGTTCAGTTTACAGCCAGAGTCACAATAAAGTGATTAATGTTCGATTCCCGGGAGGTTGTCCGTCCGCCGGTCGGGTCTGAGCTGCGTGACCGAAGGGTCTTCATTTATAAATCTGCCATAAAGGTTTTTACACCGAATCCGACTGTGAAGACTTTATAAAATACAAACTGCAGCTTTTGGGTCCGTTTAGGTTCTTTTAAAAATGATCCAGGTTGAGAACAGAAAGTAAATCCTCGTCATCCTCGATGGTTTCTTCCTCAAACACAAATCTTCATCATCATCAGACAGTTCAGTAAAATCCAGCGTTTTCTGAATGGAGTTTGGTGTAGAAACGTTTCAGTGCTGTTGTTTGAGCTTTAAAATGGATCCACAGATTCATATTCAGACCTCAGAGCGTCCTTACTTTTTAAAGACATTATCAAACATTGTGGGGAAGCAGGACGGTGATGGTTTTATTTAACTATTACATTTAACTTTATTATATAACTGTTAAATTCATTCTGTATGAAATTGTGACGCTGATATAAAACTATTTATTTCATTTTATTTCCCGGAAGTTGAAGAGTAGTTGTTATCTAACACCTGAGATGTTTATTATGTAAATAAATTGTTTTATGTTTATTTGTTAATTCGCAGTTTCCATGGAAACGTAACGCCATAAAGGTAAAGCTATAAAATGAAGACTGGGTCCAACTGGAGAACAGTATCGGGTCTTTCGTCTTTTTCAAATTCATTTTTTAAAATTCGGAATTTTATATTTTATAAAACAGAACATATGTATTTATTAAACATTTTTCCATCCAGACGTGACTGAAAGTGAAGATTTCTGCACTCTTACATAAATAAATGACTTTATTTACAAGCCTTCAGACATTAAACCCTAATTAAACCAGAAATACCTGATGTTCTGTTTAATGTCTCGGAGATTAATCTGGATCCAACCAAACTTAAATCTAAAAAAAAAGAGTTTACAAAATGTTCAGAAAACTCATTAAAGTGAAAAACTGTTAATTAATTATTCTAAGTTGGAAACAATCAGACTCACAGGGTTAGGGTATCGCTATAAACAGTTTTTAAAAAATACAGAATTTTAAGTTTCTGAAACTAAAAGTTATTTAAAAACATTTTACAGTGTTCAGTGAAAACTGAAACCCGTTTTCTAATAAACTAATAATTAATGACCATTTACTTAGAAAAACTTGAATCTTTAAATTTTGGAAACCAAAAAATAAAAACTAAGTGGACAAATAAATAATTAAATATTTTCAATCGCAAATATTTAATTTTCAAGCATCAAATAATGAAAACTCGTGTTCACTGAGAACAATTTTTGTTTTGTTTCTAAAACTTTAAGTATTAATAAATATAAATATTTTAGTTTTCCTAAAGAAGAAAAGTAAATTGTCTCAACAACAGATTATTATTAGGTTGTTTATTTAAGAGCTTTAAAATGTGAATTAAGCTTTTAAAGTTTTCTCAACTTTCTCCTTTAATAAGCCGAAACTGAAACGTATCTCAGTCGTATCACGATCTCTCAGGTTTTTCTTTAAGATCGTTCGTGATGCCCGTTGGGTTAGTTTCTATTTGTCGTATAATCCATTAAAACCTGAAGGCAGTGAGAAGAAAAAGGTATTTTGGTTCATCAGAGCCGCTGGAGGTCAAATAAAGTCACATATTGGATTGAAGTGGATTAATCCGCTGCTAAAAAATAGTCCCAACAGACGCTCTGTTTCACGCCAACCTGATTAATCTGAAACAAATTTTAACTCTGAACAAAGTGAAAATATATATATATTTTTTTTTTAAATTTGTGAGTAAAAATGACTAATTACAGAATATGTTCTAAATCAATCTGCTTTAAAGAGATTTATTTATTCTCTAAATAATTAATAAATGATAGATTTGTAGTAACTAGTAAGTAAGTAAGTAAGTTATCCGGCTCTATGTACGTCCTTTTATTTATTACTGTATAAATAATATTTATTAATTTCATCTGTGTCACTTCCTCCTCCTGCTGTCATCCATCATCCCATCAACACAATATCTTTATATATATATTTAATTGATTATTATCAATAAATCACAACAAACTCAGCTCCCATTAAGACCATAAAAACTGAATCCTAAATGTGTAAATTAATATTAATTATTATCAGTAGGAATAAACATTATGTTGGGAAACTGAACCAGAGTTAAAAAACGTTTCTACTCGTAACTCTGACGTTGAATCATCCGGACGCCGTTACAGGAGACGGTGACGCAGCCACTGAGAGGAGGGAACGTATTGATTAGGAGTTTTTATGTATTTTCTTTCATGTGACTCTGACTGTAGCGCCCCCTGCTGGAATGTCCTCGTTGTGCTTGTTGTAATAATCTATAATAATTGATCCTAATGAACTGAGTGTATTCACTGACAGTCTAATGGGAGTGTTGTGCTCAATCATATCTGGATATAAACACTTTTATTTTTCTATAATTTTATTTGGATTTAATGTTTCATGTGTTCGATGGGTGGCAGTGGTTGCTTTATAACTTTTTATCCACTCACACAATATGCAGCATTTATTTAAAACTGCTGTATTATACAGGTGCAGAGCAGTGGTTCCCAACCTGATGGTCAGGGCCCCACTGAGGGTAGCCAAAGCTTCACAAGGGGTTGTGACACCTTCTTGATTTTAAGGGGTGTAAGAAAAACTTTTAAAATATTCACATCAACAGAAGAATGGCCGATCTTCAGGGAGAAAACAGTAAATCTGTCAGTAAAGAAGAATATTAACGAAGAATATTAATGAAGAATATAAAGTCTGTTTGTTAAAAATTATTAAAATACAGAATACAGAAGAATTCTATCAAAAGTTCCCTAAACAGGAAATAATCTGCTTGAAATAAATAAAATCTCTGGTTCACTGTTTGTGTTCATTGTTCAGTTTTTAATAATTATAATTAATAATAATATGAATTATAAATCAAATACATCCGTTTAATAAATGATAGAAAAGGTTCCTGATATTTGATGTTCTAATATTAAATAAAACACTGAAGTTAGTGGAACTCTGCTTCAGAATCCATTTTAAGATCCTTTTATTGGTTCATAAAGACTTCATGGTCTCAGTCTCACTCATGGACCAGACTTTCCACCATGAACCCTGTACAGCCCTCAAACCCTTAAACCCTCAGACACTCTGGTCCTCAGGTGTTACCTGTGTCACTGGTCCTGGACTCTGGAAGCTTCCTGAGGACCTGCGAGCAGCAGAGTGGATCTCGGTAAACTCAAGACTTCCCTTGATAGTCTGGCTTTGAACTGATGTTTGATTTCATCTATTTTAATCTTTTATCCTCTTTTTCTTTGTATACACTTAGTCCCTTCTATTACTCTGTATAATCTGTTTTATTACCGACTCAGTTTTATTTGGTTTATTTTTTTCTTGTCCTTAATTTTCCTCTTTTTGTGATTCTGCCTCCAGTTTCCTCAGTCTGTTTTATTGTTCACAGAAACACGTCTAACTTTACTCTGTGTGTATTTAAGTCTGACTGAAGAAATAATGTTAAAATTGATTACATTGAATATTTTATGTAACACAAACTCAATTTTGTGAGTTAGAAACATTTTTGATTAAATACTTTTTTACAACATGTTTATTCAGTTCAGTGTCACTTAAATCCACTAAAGAATGATCAATAATCTTTTTTTAACTTACAAAATTGAGTTTTACTCTTTCACATCATGTGATCAGTTTTGATGATTTTTGAAGTTGAATTAACTTTAAAAATAAGTTTAATTTCTTCACAGAAGTGAGCCAAACTCTGAGATATCGACCTGCTGTGTATATTTTTTGTTTTCTTACACTCATTAAAATCATCTCACGACCCCCGGTGAAGCTTTGGTGACCCCTAGAGGGGCCCCCGACCCCCAGGTTGGGAACCACTGCTGGAGAAGAAGAGCGGATTGAAAACACCTCGACTGCGTTTTGTTTTCAGCTATTTATTTTCAGTACTCAGCAGTAAGGGTTATAGTATATGGACAAGTTCTTCTGTTAAGAAATGAATTATCAAAACATAGTTTATAAAAGTGTATAGTAAGCATTACATATATATGCATGGAAACAAAAGTTAGACTTTAAAACAAAAGAGGGGGGTTATAGTTGTTCCAAACCGATCTTTTTTCTTCTTCTTCTTCTCTCTACAAACTACTTGAAATGCAGGCGGGAAAAGTGTCCACTCAGAAACCAAAACCAAACATGGTGGAGGAGGAAAATGCAAAAATAAAAATAGAGAATGTACAGTTATTATTTCTGTGTTCTAGATCACATCGACTCCTACAGCACTTGACGGTCACTGCACGGCTTTGACTTTTTTTTTTCTTTTTTAAAACTAGCACCAGTGCTCCTGAAAACGCTGACACACACACAGAGGCTTCCAGATAGTCAATTAAATATAAAGGAAACAAAATAATAACACCAATAAATACAAGAGGTTACCATAAAAGTGTAACATAAAAGAGGTTCAAATGATGAGGACTGAATGCACTCCAAAGAAAGAGGAGGATCAGAGTCGTCCCTTTTCAACGTGAGTTTGATTTTTGTGAAACAGGAAGGAGGGAGGGAGAGGAAGGAGGGAGAGGAGGGAGAGGAGGGAGGAGGACGGGAGGTGGTGGGGGGTTCAGTCAAACTCGATGGAGAGATAAATATGGAAGAGAGGGATGATGGGAAGGCTCGACTGAGAAAGACAACATCACTTGGATAAAAGGCAAGAAAAACACTTTCCATCGTGTGGTTACAGTTCCTTAAATCTTCACACATCAGAACACGGGAGAGTCTCAGTGGAGCCAGAGTCCGTCATCTCCACTGAACAGGGGCATTGTGGGTAAAGGAGGGGGGAGGTGTTTTACATCAACACAGCTCTAAACTCACACATCCTAAAGACTAGCGCCGTCCATTACAAGTGTTAATAATAATAATATAAATAAATGCATTACTACAATGATCTGTCGTCTTTTTTCCTTCTTATAAAAGAGGTACTGTAGAGAATACAGTCAGAAGTACGAGTACAATACAGGATCAAACAATATACAACCTTTCTTTACAGTTTGTGACGTGGTTTCTCTCTCAGCGTTCGGCCGGGCGGTACAGTGAGACAGAGGAAGTGTTCACACACACAGATTCAGGTTTAACCGTCAGAGCAGCACCCGTCTCCAGAACGAGGCTCGACCCTTAAAACAGCCGGTTTTTGAATGGAGTTTGGTTTGACAGTGTGCAGCAGAGGGGATTTTACACATTCTGAACATCAAACAATAACAAAACAACAGGTTACATGTTTCTTTACTTTACTGAAGAGAATCAGAGTCTCACTGATGGTGGAAATAAAGCTTTTACTTCCTTA